GAGGGGAAGGAGAGGGCGGCTGTCCAACTGATGCGTGGGGTTCACGTGGTGGTGCCATGGGTCGCTGACACGTGGGCCACCCATTGCCTCCTCTCTCAAATGGATGAGGGCGCCGTTCTAGGTCTGGGCCTGCTTCACAGAGAGAGAGAGATGGATGGACGGGAACGGCGACCGAGCGACGACATCAGCGCGACGGCAAGACAGGGGAACGTCTCAGTGCTCGTTGGAGTAAGATATGTCGGTGGTGACGGTGCTCGAAGGTCACCCCCAACTAGTTGTCGGTGTCCTAGAGGTCCACCCGCAATGGTAGGAGGACTCTTCGGTGACCGTGGGTGCTCGCGGCGGCGATGGCGGCTTGCTGTAGTAGCCGCGGTGGCGTGGTGATGGATTATGGGTGTTTTGGCATGCAAGGGTGGATGGTGTGCGGTCACGGTGTGTGTGCGAGTGTTCAGAGGCGGTTGCTTTGCTTGGTTGTGCAGTGCTAACGACGGGTAGTGGTGGTGGCGGCGCGACGGCGGATGGCTTGCGGTGGTAGAGCAATGAAGGGGCTGAGATGGTGGAGGAGGTAGTAGAGGAGCCTAGGAGCAAGCCGGCCACTTCTACTGGGCAATGATGCTCTAAAGAGGGAGAGCTCGGAGGTCGCGCCCATGGTGAGCGCGGCGAACCGGATTGGGGAAAAACGACCTAGAGCTCGAAAGGAGGGAGGAGGAGGGAAGAGAAGAGGGAAATGGTGTGTTCTGTGCCAAGGCAAAGCTCGCTGTGGTGATGGTTGAAGTGAAAGGGCACGGGACAGGCCTATTTATAGGCGCCGAGGTCGGTTCGCACTGGCGAGATATTTTCTCGCCGCACCTCGGTTACGCAGGCTCCATGTTACCTTCCGTGCACGTGTTCGAACCTAAGGCGGTGGCGCACAATGTGCTCTCGTCTGTCTCCTGGCTAGCAGTGGGCTGGAGAGGAGTGCGTCCATGGCGGTGGCTCCATGGGTTGATGGCTTTTGTGACCTAAGCATAGCGGTGGCGGTCCCCATGCACGGGCGCACGTGCTCGACGGATGACGACGACGGAGGTAGGCGTGTGCAAGACAAAGAAGTTCACGACCATGGCAACTTGGCCACGTCTTTGTCGTTGATGTCCGGAGAAGAAAGAGTTGACGGTCGGGGTCCATTCGCCAAAGTGAGGAGGGAGAGGGAAGGGTTGTTGTGCAGCTCGGTTGTGTTGCGTGAGTGGGTGGGGCCTGCTAAGGAAAAGGGAGGAGAGGAGGAGCGTGCGTGGGCTTGGGTTGGTGGTACGGTGGCAGCCCAATCTTTGAGAAGAAGAAGAGGGGAGGGAGTGGAGGCAAAAGGGCCAGAGAGAGGAGAAGGGGTGATTTGAGCCCGTGAGCCGTTTCTCATTTATGTAGTGCCTTTTCTTTTTCCCAGAAACTAAACTAAGTACATTTGGGTGTTTTTGGGTTTGAATTCTAGAGAATTTGAAAGGTGGGGACCTTGGAAAATGAGGGGAGGGTCAAGGAAAGGTATTTGGTGGAGGATGCTTAGAGGGAATTATTTGATGCCAAATAAATTCTAGGGCAAGCAATCAAACAATCAAGTAATCAAGCATACACACAAGCATTCAAACAAGCAAAGTGCAGATGATGAATTTAAATGCAAAGCTATTTTCTAACCCTAGGAAGATATCTCTAGCGCTACAACTAAATCCTACGTGGCATAGGAATGCATATGGTGGAGTTTTGATGCAAGGGTTGTTAAAAATATATATTTTCAAATCGGTTGTGCAGAAATAGACAGTCAAGGTTTTAATTTGTTGTAAAGTTTTAAAAAGTTTATATTTTGTGTTTTTTAACATGATGCAAAACATAGGGTGTTACACCACCCACGCCCGTGCCCCCGCATGCTGCTGCGCCCCTCGCTTCGCTTTTGTGATGCGTGCTCGTGGATGTGCATGCAGGTGGGGACCAAATCTACATTTGCAACACTAAATCTACTTTTGCAACATCAAGATGAAACACATGCAACATTCAGATGAAACATATGAAACATACATCTGAAACTCATGAAACATACTGCGCCTGCTAATGGAAACACTTCTAACATGAAGCACTTGCTGCAACATAGGTCTGAAAGAGGTAAAACATTTGAAACATACGATTGCAACATATGTTTATAGCCACTGCAACATTCAGATAAAACACCTGCAACATACGTTTAAACAGGATGAAATATTTGAAACATACAGTTACAACATACGTGTATAGCCATTGCAACATGTAAAAAATACAGATAAAACACTTGCAACGTACGTTTGAAAAAATGAAACATTTGAAACATATGCTTGCAACATACGTGTATAGCCAATGCAACATATGCAACATCCAAATGAAACACGTACAACACCAGATGAAACATACATCTAAAACGCATGAAAACATACGGAGCTCGATGCCATGGAGTGACTGAAAATTTTGGACCAGCACTCAGCTGCCAACGGTGAACCATCACAGAAGTAGCAAACGTCACATGCAAATGTGGGCCCGTGCTCCTCTCACAAACAGGCAAGTGGCCTGGTCGGCCCTTCAACTGGCTAATCCGGTCAGCCAAAGCAGTAACGCTGCAGGCAGCATGCGGCAGGGGCAGCTTGTCCTGGGCGTAGACAATAGAGAGAGAGAGAAAAGTGGAGGACGACAAGTAGTAGCAGGCCTAGGCGCTAGGCAGTATAGGGCAGGTGCGACAGGGAGGCCTGCGGCTAGGGGCCTGGCCGGCTGCTCTAGCCCGCAGCGAACGCAACAGGGAGCCTCTCTCCATGGTCACGCACATGCAAGGTTCCCCACGCGCCGCCTACACCCTGAACTCGAGTGGCCACACACACTCCCATGCGCCGCCCCGCAGAAAGGATGGGTGCAGCCCCGCCTGCCTGTAACTACATGCCCCCACTTTTTTCTTGGGCATCACGCGCGTAGGGTTGGTCCGTCCATTCGTCTAGACGCCCTCAACCAAGCATTACCGAATGTGATATGGTAATGCTCTTGTGTAGGCGTTCGGGGACGGACGGACACGACTTTCCCACTGACTACCTTATCTGTCCGCTCGCTCCCATCCGCACCCCTTAAAAAACTCTCGCACTCGGCCTCCACCGTTGTGGACTTATCCACCGCTCCAGAGGACCTCCATGCTTGACTCCACCGCGGCGCCCGTCTTCCCCACTCCGCGCTCCACCACGCCACTTGCAAGCACCACGGCATTCGCGTTGCCGCGGCCGCCTCCACTGCCCGCTTTAGCTGCCGAGCAGGTGCTCGCCAAGGGTGTGTTGGCCCAGGCCGCCGAGCAGGTGCTCGGCCAGGGGTGTTCGCACAGATGCTTGCCTAGGGTGCTCGCACACCGCACGTAGGTGCCCACCCAAGCCACCGAGCAGGTCCTCAACCAAGCGCGCACCGGCGAGCTCTATGTGCCGCCGCCGACCTCCGCGATTCGTCCAAACAGCAAGGTGACATTACGCGCTAAAAACGCATGTTGCAATAGTATGTTTCGCATGTTTCAGGTGCTTCATCCGGATGTTGCAAGTGGTTAATGTATATGTTGCAAAAGTAGATAGGGATGTTGCATATGTTGCAATGATTATACACGTATGTTGCAAGCTTTTGTTCTCAATGTTTCCGATGTTTTTCCAGACATATGTTGCAAGTGTGTTTATTTGGATGTTGCATATGTTGTACACATATGTTGCAAGTGTTTTATCTGGATGTTGTCTATGTTTTATATGGTTTTCAAGTGTTTTTCAGGTGTTTTTGCAAGTGTTTCATCTGTCCTCAGACGTATGTTTCAAGTGTTGCATCTGGATGTTTCAAAATTAGATCGGGTGTTGCATCTCGCTCTCTCCTCGCCTTTGACTGCCTTGCTTCGGTGTCTCCACCTTCTTTTGGCGCCGATTAGACATCCAAACCAGAGGCGCAGGCGGGTGCCGGCCCCATCCCCTTCTTCTCGATGTTGGTGGCACGGAGTGGGATGGCGGCACGGCGGGGGACGGGCTGCCGCGAGTGGCGCAGGCGGGCGCTCCCTCCGTTCTGTGGTTCTATTACGCGGGCGGTGGGCGCTCCTTTCTAATAGGCTATTCTGTGATTCCGTAGCTGAGATCGGACGACTCCTATGGTAAGTATTGGACGGGTCGTAGCTGCGTCTGGATAGGTCGTAGGGCCGGACGTCCGGGCGCTAGTCGTCCCGTGATACGGTTGATATTAGTACAATTTCAACTATACGATGAAAAAGCTTTTCTAATGGCCCAAACGAATGTGCACTGCAGGATTGTGACACTGCTAGCAGAGATGCACTGAGCTGTGAGCAACGATACTGGCACCCCTTTTTCATATATATATATATAGACGTCATTTTTTTTACGAATCACAATACAAATGCAGACACGCATATAATATACATGTATACTTAGCCCTTATAAACGTATATGCACACAACAATCTGAACCGTCGACAGTTAAAAAAAATTGACAGTCAAAAAGACAATCTGAACAATCAGATTCCACCGTAAGAAAACGCAACATCAGTTTCCGTAATCACAAGTGTATATATTCTCAAAAAGTGTCCCAACTACCAAAATTTGCTTTAGAATATACTTGCAACTTCTAACACATTTGTAGAGCGATAGTACTGTCAAGGCTACCATCTGCAAACTGCTAGCGCAAACACTAGAATGTAGTACGTGTTGTGGATGACATTACAACAGGGGCGGCGACCACACTGTCTTAGAAAAATGTGCTTTATGTTTACATTCTAGCTAGATTGATGCTAGCTAGAAGCTACAGGGCAATCTGAAATGTGTGATGTAATCTTATTGCCAAATGTGATGAAATACATTAAATTTACAAACCCCCGTTATTCATGTGGATCAAAGCAGCAGCAAAAAAGTGAACAAATATAAAAAGTAACACAAACTACAGAGAGGTGCCACAGGTAGGGAAAGTAGTTTAAACACGCCACACGCATCACTTGCTTTCTCACTCCTGTTTCTTGGGTGCCCCGGCGCCGAGCGGCATGAACTCCGCCACCTTCTTCGCCGCCGGCCGGGCAGCGAGACCCTTCCACCAGGCGCTGACATGTGGGAGCGCCTCGACCAGCGTGGCATACTCGGTGGCCATGAAGTAGCGCATGATGGTGAAGTGGGCGTGAGGTCGGCGAGGGTCAACACATCGCCGGCGAGGTACCTGCTCTGCGCCAGGCGCGCCTCGTACACCTCCAGCACCTTCTTTAGCTTCTCCACGTTCTCGTCAATGACAGCCTGGTTGCGTTCGCGGCCATGTAGGACGGGCGCGACGATGCACTCGACGGCGATGGCGCCTGCCAGTGGTTGCATCTGGTGGGCCTCCACCTCCACCCACATGTCCACCATTGCCGACTGCTCCAGGCTGCCGGACCCTAGCAGCTCCGGCTTGTACTTCCGAAGCACGTGTTTCGCGATCTCTCGGGATTCTGAATGAAGAAATATGTATATATATTAGAAATTTTTTTGGTGGTGGACATTCTTTTATTAAAATGCTTCTAGGTTCTAGGGTGTTTTATGGATACACCTATTTCTCAACGAGTGAATTGCAGTTTACACCACACATAGAAGTATCATGGTTTAAGAACACCGCATATAAAGTATTTTGTTCCACTTACCTCCATATATATATAACATGTAAAATTGTTTTACTTTAGCCAACCTTTAGCTCTAGTCTCAACTCTCACATAAACCATGTTGTAATTAGATCATGGAATTTTAAAAACCCCATCTTTCTATAATGCCTCACTTATACTCATATAGCTCTGATTTGCTTATTCCTCTTTTACCCCCAGTCCGTAAATGTTGGTTAAGACCATTAGTTTCTTTGGCAATATCATCATGAAGCATTTGTAGATGAGGCAAAAAGAAATGAAATGTAGCCATGGTCATGTATATCTGGATATGTATGGGACTAGAGCTAAGGGTGTGATACAGTGAACCCAACTGGCATGTTTACATGGCCTTAAGGGGCACAAATTAAAAACGCTTTGAGGCTTTCTGTAATCATGGCATATTTGATATGCGGCAAACTGCAATACCCTCTTTTAACAATGAATTAAAACACCACTGATGCGGTCCATATATAAAAGAAAGTTACCTATATATTTTAGAAGCACTTTTCACGTTCAATTAAATAACTTGTATCTTAATTACATTGTCGATCTTTATATTTTTTTGTTTGTTGATGGTAAAAGTTTTAAGAGTTTGAGCTATCGACATGATTAGAAAAAGGACATATTTTGAATCAAAGATGCTGCTAGCAAGGTATATACCTTGTACAAATAACATGGAAAAGAGAGCACGTGAACGCATTCGAAATTGTGTATTTTGGTACTGCTAGCAAGGTTTCGAGTGACCATAAAAAAAAGTAGGTTAAGGTGCCAAATGAGAGAGTTGTGAAACCAAAGTCTTATTTGTTCCCAAGAGCGACGTCCACGATTACACTTGGCCAAGTGGGGACTGGGTAAGTTTGACTAGCAAATTTGGAAAAGAGGGAAGAACCTGAACCTTTACGGTCATGTTCGTTTCGCTGAAATTTGGATTACGCTGATGCTTATGCTAAAATGTTGTGAGAGCAAAACATTGTTCGTTCGTTGAAACGTACCGTTGGAGTAGTGCAGCAGAACAGGGAAATTCATCGTATCAATTTAGTTTTGTAGAAAATACACAGGAACGAAAAGAAGAATCCTCTGTTCCAAACAAAGCATCGAAAATCCGGAAAAGTAAAAAAAAAACGCACAGCCATTATCTCTTCTTTTCTGAAAGTCACGCCCACTATCTTCCGTTCGTCTTTACGGGACGAAGTACTGATACTCATTTCTTTAGGCGTTAGAAGTTTTTACCAACGTTGACTATGTTTTGATGTTGGTACTAAAAAGAACATTTATTTATGATTATAACTATCAGTTATAGCCTTTATGTATCCTAGCAGCGGAAAAATTAAAACATGCATGCCTATATATAAAAATGACACTTGGTGATCGATGCGATTAGTAAGAGAGGACACGAAATGGAGTGAATCGTTGGCGGGCGTACCAAAGAGGGTGAGGTCTCCGTCCTCAAGCACCGGCACCTGAAATTTTTGCATTTTGGTCTCTTTTGAAAATATTTTTTACAAAAAGACCTATGTCAAAATGTTTGCTGAAAATAGATCATTTTTAGGTGTCTTAGAACATGACGCCAAAGTATGAGGGTCGGCGTCGACTGACACGACATCGAGGTCTTACCACGTCACGGACGACCCCGGTCGACGGCGACACGGTGGCGCATGGGGTCCGACACGCCGGCGTTGTGTCAGCCAACGCCACAGGCCCAACCTCGGCGCGGTGGGACTACACGCCGAGCTATTGGCACCATCCGGCGCGTGGCCCAGGCGGCCCAACAACGCTTCGTGGCTCAATAGCTCGGCGCGGGGTCACTTAACGCCGAGCCACCAGACTCGACGCGGCCTGACTCAATGCCGAGGTCTGGACCCTTGAAGCCACGCCGCGGTCCCCTTCTTCCTCCCTCCATTCTGAAAGCGCCGGCTCTTTGCTGCTGGCCTCCCTCCGCGCCCCCACGAAACCCTAACCCCCAAATGCGACCCTAGGTGCCCGGATCTCGTCTCCCGAAGCTTTCTGGAGGTAATGGTCCCTCCCCTCCTCCAATCTATCCGCGTAGATGTGCTTGCATTGTCTCTAATCATGTGAAATCATGGGTGTATGGTGTTTTGGTATATGTGTATTTGCATTTGCAAAATATATGGCTTAGGTTGATTGAGTGCATTGTTGTTTAACTGTTTTATGTGCTGAACATGTTAGGTTAGTTTGGTTTCTAGTTATTTTAGTCATTAGGGTTCTTTGTTTATTGTAGGTGTCATTAGGGTTAGTTATTTGTTGGTCATTAGGGTTAGTATGTATTTTAGTTATTTGTTGGTCATTAGATTTCAATTTTTTATGACTAGAAATGATTATGTTGTTGGGGTTGAAAAAGATGAAATGATATATTTTAGTTTCTACTTATTGGATTGAAACTCGCATGATATATTGATATGTGACACTACTTGTTGTGTGATGGCTGTAGATGGATAAATTAGTGATGTTGCATCATGGAGGCCGTATTGTTAGGACAAGAGATGATAGTTTGGAATTTCTGGACATGTGTGAGGAGTTGTTGATTTTTTCTGAAACACCATCTTTGACCCAGTTAGTGGAGCGAGTGAAGGTTAAGTTAGGCTGGAATGAAGGAGACGTGCATGTTCAGTTTGAAGGTGTCATAGATGTTGGGTCATCGAAGGGTCCTCGGATCAAGCGAATGCTCAAAATTACAAGCGAGTCTGAATGGAATGATTACAAGGTAGTTGTATTGGCCTCAGAAGTGCGATCTTTGGATTTAGTAGTAAGTAAGGAGTCTGGCTTAGGAAATGATAACTTCGAAGCATGCCCATCTTCCCCCGTGTTTGGATCGCTCGAGCGTGATGGAGGTTGGTTTGAGGGCGGTGGAGATGAGGAGGAGAATACGGTTGCCGATGGTGAGGGCAATCATGATAGTGATGAAGAGGATGGTGATTATGTAATTGGTGGTGCAGAAGAAGGTTTGGACGATGCTAGCGGAGACTTTTCTATTGAGGATGAGCTTAGCGACGAAGATGATCTTAGTGGTGAAGAAGACTTTGGTGATGCTAGGGCTGCGAACCATTTTCACATGGAGATAGCTGGAGATGATGAATCCTTCGTAGAGGAGATAGCCGAAGACTCTGATGACGATCGTCCTGTTGGTCGTCTCAATTTTAGGGAAATAGAGATATTGTCTAGGGTCTTGCCTTGGAGAGATCCACTAGTTGGTGATTTCGAGGACCTTAGCCATGGTCACAGGGCAGTAGCTGATGGTGGGTCAAGTGATACAACAGTGCCTGATGTTAGCGGTTGCCTCATCATACGGAAGGGCATATTGTTTACTACCATGGATGAGTTGAAAACTTGGTTGCAAGAGTACTCCATTGTACACAACCGACCTTTTAGGGTCATCAATTCATTTAAGGAGAAGAGGTACACTGTTGCTTGTGAAGAACAACAGTGTGGTTGGAGAGTATGTGCTAGGAAGACAAAGACAGGCAAATGGAAGATTACCTCAATGAAGCAACCACATGTTTGTGCCACTGCTGAGGCAAAAGAGAACCATCTACAGCTCATTTCTAGGTTCATTGCAAGGTAGTTATGCCCCGTGGTGAAGCATATGCCAACCATTACGGTGTCCGCGTTGGTTGAGATCATCTTCCAACAGTACAATTACTATGTCAAGTATGGAAAAGCATGGAGGGCAAAGCAGCGTGCACTAGAAATAATATTTGGAAATTGGGAAGAAGCTTATGAGCGTCTCCCTGTAATGTTGAACGCAATGAGGGCTATAAATCCTGGGATGCACTTCGAGTATTTACCTAAGGAGGGTGAAACAAGGAATGATAGCCAGGTATTTGAAAGGGCCTTTTGGGCGTTCGTGCAGAGCATCGAAGCATTCGAGCATTGCAGGCCCATCGTCTCAATTGACGGGACCTTTCTTACAGGGAAATTTGAAGGCATAATGCTTGTTTGTATTGGGACAGATGCAGAAGACCAGCTTGTGCCATTGGCCTTTGCGATTGTTCGGAAGGAGGACACGGATAGTTGGTGTTGGTTTCTCAGGCTAGTAAGACAAGTGGTAATTGGTCTGGGACGTGATGTTTGTATTATATCCGATAGGCATGCTGGCATTCTGAATGCCGTAGAACAAGAGATTCCTGGTTATGGCCAACTACATCACCGGTGGTGCACCAGACACCTTGCTCATAAACTTATATGGTGTAATCACACAAAGGACAACTTTAAATTATTTGAGGAGGTTTGCAGGCAGCAAGAGGTTCAATTATTCAAAGACAAGCTAGATGCCCTGAAGTTAGCCACAAATATTGATGGTAGGCAATTCTTGAGCAAGTTGATGGCGTCGAAGGATAAGTGGTCACATGCATATGACACCAGAGGTTGGAGATGGGGCTTCATGACTAGTAACATGGCAGAGATGTTCAATCGCCTTCTAAGAGGTTGTCGTGGTCTGCCTGTGACTGCTATTGCCTCATTCACCTTCTACAAGTTGAATGCTTGGTTCGTTTCGAGGAAGAAGCATGCGAGGTCTCTATGGACAGCAGGCAAAGCTTGGCCACTTTTAGCATCTCAGGAACTAGCTTTCTCAAAGAAAAAGTCTAAATGACAGAAGGGTTCATGTTTTGATCTGATCAACCATGGATATGAGATTCTAGAGGGTGGTGGAACTAACAGTGGTGGTGAAGACCGGGGTGCTCGAAAACATAAAGTAGTGATCAATGAGAACAAGTG